TCTTAAAATAGAATTTGTAGCTTCAGAGTTCCAATAGGAAATACAGTAATATCTCAGGTGTCAAGTATACGTTATTTCTTTGTCGTTTGATTTTTTTTTATTTGTAACACTGAAGACATTTGTTTATCAAAATTATAACATAAAATGGAGCAATTTCATGGAGTTAAGCCCTAAACAAAATACGAAAAAACAGCGATAACATTCCAATTCGTCAAAAATTTTATCGCCTATTCCGTGTTTCGATCTGCATTAATTTATAATTCGATGCACATTGACAATTAAGATGATGGAAAATATTTTATTAGTGCAAAATCTCTTCAAAATTACTTAAACAATTTTTCATTTAACTCCCAGTAAATTGGAGAAAGAAATAATATTGTACTTTCGCAATCTATTAACAAAATGATTCAGGATCATTAAATACTGTTTATAATTCGCAAGTCAAATTAATTGTTTATAAGAAGAAGTTTTAATAAGAAGTTTTATTGGAGAAAGTTAATCTCACGCTTTTATATATATTTTTTTAAAATCAATAAAATTTGAGCCGTCTATATTCAATCTTCTCGTTGTGTTTGATGCAGCAGTCTAGTGCGAAAGTATAGGGTACTTTTTTTCTCGCGATGCAATTCCTTTTCCAGCGTCGATGATGCATGCCATAAGAAGATGGTACAGAGCTGTCGATCTCACGGTACATGGCGATCCTAATAAAGCACGCTTTCGTATCCGCCTACGCGTCACGATTAACAATTAACGACAACAGCGTAACGAATGCCAAGCGGCGACTCACCTTCCCGGTGTGTCGCCGCGCTTAGGAAAGTGCGTCGCGCTGTTCGTCGTCGTTCGCTCACGTACAGGTAGCCGAGAGTCCCAATTATTCCGGAATAACGGACAGCCTAGGAACGTATATGTGCATGTACACGCGTACGCAGGATGTATGGGACACGTGTGCGTGTGCATTTCGAAAAATCGTCGCGCCTGTTACTCCGACGCTGGGTTATCGTCTAACGGTGACTGATCCTCCGGACGTATAGCGTACGCGTTAGTATCGCTACATCGAGCGTTCTAGACCTGCCGAGTCCACCTTTCGAGTCCACGCATTCTTTTCTTTTTCAGTCTACGATTTTTCTTAACCCTTCGTCACTCGCGTGCTGTATCCAGAATATTTTTACGGTGACCACACTGAAAAAATATATAATCAATTCTAATAAATATTTAGTTGAAACTGCCAACTAAATATTTATTTACAGTAAGTAAATATTTGTTCAGTAAAAAAAATGATTGTTAAATCAAATTAACATTTCTTGTATCAAATAAATATATCTTTATATTTAATAAATATTTATTGAATTAAATATTTATTAAAATTAACTATATTTTTTCTCTGTCCTTTATTGTAAAGAGCAATCCTTTAGTTTAGCTAATTGTGTTGTTCCTTAGATTTATTTGTTTCTTCAAAACTCAATTTTGTCTTTTATTTTTCACTATTGTTCTTTACTATCCTTTATTTTGATATTACGGGAAATTCTTTTCTAATTAACGTTCCAATGTCTAATATTGTATTAATGAGCAAATTTTTACGGAAAATATTTTTCAAATTATAATAATTCCGCATATTTTACATACTGAAAATAACTATATCTTGGCCGAAACGTTTATGTTTTTATTATTTTTTAACAATTATGTTTTAATATGTGACTTTCGCTAACAACATCCTGCATGTGGTTTTTCTGCTCTTTTATTTATTGAATATTTTTATTTTTGAATATTTTATAGTTTCATGCATACAAATATAATTTGTTTTTGTTAATTATATTTCTTAATTTTTTAATTGAATTTATTCAAATTGGAGTTGTTTTCATTTTTTATTATTGTATTTCAAACCTTTTATTATTTTAGATCAAATTTGTTCTAATACAATCGAACCAGTTTCGAACTATCAGAAAATTGCGCGTTATCTCAATTTGTGTGATTATACCGTGCAATAAAAAAATGTTATAGTGCACAAATTCTCACAAATTTGAAAATATGTGGGAACAGAATCCTAAAATTTTCAAATTTATTGTCCTTTATTTTGTTTAAGAAAATGTGGTCACCACATAAGGATACTCTAACCTTATAAATTCGATAATTGTGTAAATGCTATTTATACATTATTATTTTTAGTGTAAATTCTTTTACAATTTAAAAAGAAATTGCATTTATTTTTATCTAAACGTTCTAAGGAATCTTCATCAATAAAATATTATTAATCTTATTTAATTGTAAATTATCAAAGAGAACAGTAAAAATTGAGATACACTGTTGGAGTGTCAAAAACGTAAGTAATTATGTTAAAAAAAAACATGTAATATAAATTTAAAGAGGAATGTGAATTTTAGATTATTAAAAGGTTCATGGATAGATGAAAAATGATTTGTTGAATTTCGAATTTCTCCAATAATCATAATTATTATATACTTACGTTCGCATTATTAATACTCGAAACTTTAATTTCAATTTGATTTATCATGAGTTAACTGTTTTTAGAATTAATATTATACGATTTATTCAAACAATTTCGAATATAAAAGAATCTTAGTACATCAGTGTACAAGTGCGATCATCAACAATTGATCTAAAAGCAACATAAATAAACGGTTCAATTATGCCCGCGCGATGTAATGAATTCTTCTTTTGTACCTGATACATATATTCTCACGTTTTCACTGATCACGGTGAGGACAAAGGCCAAGACGGTGACCGAAAACGAGAGTCTACTTGAAAATGAGCAAACAATACGTTTGTACTTCAAGCGATTCATCCTTCGCAAAACGCCGTTTGTTCACGTTTTGTTTCAAGTAGCCATGTTTATGACGCATCATACAGTGACACAAATCTACAAATACATGCGACATTACAGTTCAATTCCGAGTTCAAGTAGAAGAAAGGTACATATCTATATTTTATTCATCTATATAACTTTATTGTTAATCCTCCAGCTGACAGAAAGCTGATAGCAGATTTCTTGGACCCACTCAATTATAAACCTTTGTTAAAAAAATTCATACAAATTAATTTTAATCTTTTAATCGTTATAACACCAGGTTAAACTTTCTAGTCTTTCGAAGTTCGATAGCTGTGGGATACTCCGACCAATCATTACATAGTATTTAATAGTAATAAAATAAATATATGTGCGCTGAGCATGCGATGTATTTATGTAAGATTTGTTGTGAAATCTGGTTAACGCGGATGTGTGTTACGCGTGTCATAAGCGTGATTAAAAAAGCGTGAAAAAGAATGAATGAATAACGCGGAGCGAATTTCTAGACATTCCCGCGGTTATAAAGCGGAAAGGCCGAGTCGTGGCCGGTTTCGCTTCCGCTTGTTCGAGAGTATCTGCGCCAGCCACAAGTTAATCACCGTCCAACTCGGCGATTTAATGCCGCATCAGGTATCGATAGTGCAGCGAACCCGATCTTCTAGGGTGATGGTGGGCACGCGGACTTTCCGGCGGAAGCTGCCACCCTGAAAATTATTCAAGCGTGTCGGATCGCGCCTGTGTGATTGCGAGAAACGAGTCACGATAGCCGTCTATTTTCTCTCTTCGCAATCGATATATCGGCCAAACGATCCATTTATTCCCTTTGTCGACGTTGATCCTCGACACGATCACACTCTTTTTCTCTTCTTCTTACCAACAGCACTGATACAAAAGATCACGAAGCGATCACCAATGTGAATATGAATAATGATTCTCGAACCAGAAAGAGAAAATACAAGATTTAAAGATACGATTAAAGATTCAAGAGATATGATATCCTCTTTCAAGACTCGTTACTTTTTTTTGTCGTCCTTTCTTCGTCTTGTCTACGAGAAGTAAAGCTATCAAAACTAGTTCATATAATTTATTCTTGTTATGACCGAGAATTCTTTCGTCGCGGCTCTTTACTAATCGATATTCCAACCACGTGCCATCGCAAAGCTGAAATTTAATCTGATCGCGCCTACACCCAATCAGTCTTAACTTCCTCCCCCCACTTCCTCGGATTGACCTAGATTGTTGTCGCGATTGATGTTTTCTATTTTTACGAGAAAGAACATTTCACGTTTGGCACTGAACTTGTAACACTTTCTCGAGGCGTCAGTTAATCCGATTGCGACATCTTCAGCTCCGTGTAATCCAGGTTGAGTTACGATAATATTAGTTGGGTGCAGTTTTATGATTTACGACATAATTTTGCACTAAAACCTTTCCAGAGATACGAGAATTTTTGCAGCTATCGAGTTTTTTTGCAATCAAACAAAATGTTGCATCACCAGCAATAAAAATCGAGGAGGTACACTTCTTGTTCCGTTAACATCGACCGTGTTGCTCGAACTCTCGAAAACGTCCGTGAAATCGATTTCGTTTACGGAGAGGCTCTCGAGAGCAGCCCATGTTCTGGAGCTTCATTCGCGGAAAAAGCCGCAATACAACGAGGACGACTGCTCGATTCTCTTTTTTTCTCTTTCTCTCTTTCTCTCTCTCTCTCTCTCTCTCTCTCTCTCTCTCTCTCGCATTGGATACCCTTTTTGTACCGCTACATTTTTATCGAACTATCCTTGGAACTTCTTGCTGATACAGTCGCGTCCTTTACCACTTTGTTCTGCCCCGGTAGCTTAACGTTATATAACGAAGAACGACAAAATGGATGCGATAGGAAGCGCAAAAAGAAAAAAAAAGGACTAACGGAACAATAGCTTTGTCGGAAAGCATCTGCGAATTATAATAGAAGCGTTTTTATCTTATATAAGTCTGTAGATGTGCTAACATTCTAATCTTCTTCTCGGAAAAAGATTCACTCAAATTAAAATATTATTTCAAATCCATATTCCGATCCACTAAACATGTTTTTGCAAAATTAATTTTTACCCGAATTATAAGAGAACAAAATAAATGTTTGTATTATTTTAAATGATTTCTTAAAATCTTTCTAATTACAGATAAATCAAATAAACTTTAAAAGTTAAAAGCTTCGAAAGACATATTTCTTTAATAAAAACAAGATTCGAATCTCCAGAAACTTGAAAGTATTCAGTGACGAAATACAAATGTGCGCGCGTTTCGATGATGAGAGGTACGCGCGTTGTGCCAAGGACCATTGCGATTGGACGTGCAACGCGTTGACATAGCTTCCTCTCTCTCAAGCAATCAGCATCGGTGTCATCTGCAGCAGAGTTGAGAATCAAGGACGAGCCCAGGCGTGCGAAAGATGCGAAACGGTGGACAAACAGCGCAGCAAACGGCGGTAATGACGCCGCCGCATCTGAACGGCTCAGCACAGTTCATATCGGGCGGCTATGTAACGACGGGATATTTACCGCGCCAGTCCTGGACCCAATTCCAGGCTGTGCCGCAGCATCCGACTAGGAGTGGCGGCCGACCCATGTCATTGCCGCCACCCCCACCGCCTTCCCGACGAGACACTGGCCAGAGGCCTTGCAACGGAGGTCCGGCCAATACTAAGAACACATCCCTGCCAGTTCCCAGATCGGTTACCCATCGGAGTACCACACCCTCGGTGAGTTCAAAATTCCCGCAGGCTCTCTCCAAGGAGATGTCCTTCAATTTCGGATTCTCTTGAGCGGAACGGAGTTTATCTAAAAAAAGTCTCTTGAAAAAAAGATGATGACAAATAATTCATAAATCTTTCGGACGTAAGCGGGGTCTACAGATTGAGATCCAGATTGTATCTAGAAGTGTTGATAGATGATGAATATAAAGAGATGGAGAGTCTGAAAGAAATCATCTGTTTTTTTTTGTTTGTTTTTTTTTTATGTGAATGTGAACTGTGTTGTATAAACCGCACTTTAGCGAATGATGGGAACTATTCAACTTCGGATCGTTATCTCTTCGCGGTCAGTAGTTATGCAGTACTTTATTGGACGCATAAAAGGAAGAAGAACATCACGAAATCGGGAACATTCCGGTGGTGAGACGTAGAGTACGCCAACTTAGGAGTTTGTAGAGAGAGTTTTCTTGGAACCGGCCCAGAAAGCCGCGATTCAGGAATACTTTCTTGCAGCACAATTCTGAAATCGCTTGAAAGGGTAAAAGGGACGAGCAGAAAGGGATGTCGATCGAAAGGGATCTGCATTTACGAGTTACATTGCTGAATGAATTGAAAGATGACACAGTGAAGTGAAAAATAACTAAATGTTATTTAAAGAATTAGGTTAACATTCTTCTTTGATATCTAATATCTATTTTTACTTGTTAATAATTCGACTTTCACATTGACTTTCACATTGCAATAAATATGTTTAATATCGAAGTCTATTAATTACTTTACATGTAGTATTGCGGATATTGTTTCACAATATCTGAACGATATTTTAACAGCGTCAGGTTTCATATAAGATAATTATTGAATCCGTTTTTCATAATCATTCATATATTCATATGCGTGATGATTATTAATACTGATTATTGATCATTAATGAAAATGTGATTGTGGTGTATAATATAAGTCTTAATGGAACTTTTGAATATCCTGATATATATATATATATATA